TATAGGAAATGTCTTTGCTTGTGTGTGTGTTGTTTACAAGTACATTTAAGTTGAATAATTTTTTTTTTTTTTTACAGGCACACGCTTGTGAGTCTGAGACTGGATGAAGGGTGAGTTTTGCATTTCTGTACCAAATAAAGAGTATAAACTAAACCTTAAGATAAGTTAATATTTGAACCACTTTAAAGTTTTGTTTTTTTTCTCCCTACATTATTTTTTTAATTTTATTTTTTTTCAATTTACAGGCATGGTTTGTCTGTGAGTCTGAGACTGGATGAGGGGTAAGTTTTGCACTTCTGTACCAAATAAAGAGTATAAACTATATCTTAAGATAAGTCAATATTGAGTCTGAGACTTGATGAAGGGTAAGTTTTGCATTTATGTACTAAATAAAGAATATAAACCATATCTTAAGATAAGCCAACATTTCAACGACTTCTGATTTTTTCCCCTACATTTCTATCAGTAGATCATTAGACAGCTGAGTTAGATCGGTGTCCGGGTCATAGGGTGGAAGATGCAGGAGCGAGGAAACGATTTTGCTGCGATTGGAGATGCAGTTCCACTGGTCAGTGTGGTTTGGCCTGTTAAACGGATAGTTCACCCAAAAATTACAATTCTGTCATTAATTACTGGATAGTTCACCCAAAAATGAAAATTCTGTCATTAATTACTCACTCTCATGTCGTTCCACACCTGTAAGACCTTTGCTCATCTTCAAAACACAAACAAAAATATTTTTGATGAAATCCGAGAGCTTTCTGTTACCCCATTGGCAGCAACGCAACTAAAACATTCGAGGTCCAGAACGGTAGGAAAGACATCATTAAAGTAATCCATGTGACTCCTGTGGTTTAACCTCAATTTTATGAAGCACCACGAGTGCTATGTTTGTCCAAAACGCCACAAAACTTATGTTTTTAAGTTGAAAGGGGTGAACATTTTTTACAGTGTAGGCGTTAGCTTAGAGGCTGGCCAAAGCCAGCAAATATCAATCACGTCATTCACGCGCCGTCTATTCCTCTAATGAACACCCACTTCGGTGGTGGTGCGGGATGTCCAGGTGCTTTCTGAAACTCTATCGGCTTGCTTTTCGTTATCTCTGCGTGCCTGCGACTTCAGTTCCTGCCGAGCGCGTTTTTTCAAGTGCCGTAATTTTATTGTTAATCGCCTCAGGTCCCGTCTTTCACCAGACCACGTTGATAATTTCCCAGATAGCAAGCAGACGTTGATTCAACGTCGATTTTTGGTTGTAAAGGTCAGTATCGGTCGTCAATCAAATTTCGATGTTGAATCAACGGTCACTATTTGGTCGGAACATCAGAACGTTATTTCGCCGACAACAAAACATCGATTCAACGTC